GAGACAGGGACAGAATGGCACCATCATCTGGAGCAGAGCAACCCCATCATAGCAGCAAGGAGAGGACAAGGGTGTTTGACTTGGAGATGGGAGTTCTCAGGGGTGTATGGTGGCAGTTTTGTGGCATCATCAGAGCTATGAAAGAAAGGGAAATTGCATCCTCATGGCCCTGGAAGTACTTCCGATAATATCAACAATGGCCACACAGAAGCACCTCTTCTCTGAGTGGTTTTTAAGTGTCCAGCACTATTACACGGGCAATAGCTTACTTCTCGTAACCACCCAAAATGTTAAATGAAGTTATTCCCATGTTTGGATGAAAAAATAGAGGCTTAGAAAGGTGAAAAACAATAGTCCAAGGTCCCACAACAAACAAATGTCAGAGCTGGGATGTAAACCCAGGTCTGTTGGACTTGAAAGGCCAGCATCTCTTCCCAGTACACCCTGAGTCTGCTTCTGGGCAGAGAGGAGCTCCGGGGAGGCAGATCTCCGCTCCAATACCACCTACACAGGGGGCCTGGGAGCACACGGAAGAGCCCAAGACCTTGATAGACAAACAGCAGGGCAACAACCTGGCTGAATGGGAATTACGGGGAAGTAAATGGTAATTTCACTATAATTAAAGAACTTCCTGATAGAGGGGCCATTCAGTCTGTCAATCAGTCATTCTTCCTTGAAAGCCTACCACGTGCTATGTGTACTCTCTGGTCTTTCAAGATCCTCTAAATCCTACTTCATCTGCCAGGAGCAGCCTCCTTCCCTGGCCTGCTGGACAGGCCCTGGGCAGAGCGCCGAGCTCAAGGACATCAGATGTCTCTTCCTGCATTTGGGCAGAGCCCTGGCCTTGTCTTCATAAGCCCCTCAATAAATCTGAGCACTTTCCCTGCCCTTTAGGGACTGGCTGGAAGAGAATTTGGGAAGGTCATCCACAGCCCTGAGACACAGGAATTTGAGATGCTTTAATATTTTTTGTAACTCCTCATTTGTAAAGCACCTTTCAGGAAAGGTTTCTTAAAATCGGTAACACTTCTTTCAAGAGGGACTTCAAATGAGGTTAACCGATTAGGAAGGAGAGAGGCAGCAGCTCCAGCACGAGGTGACCCCTTCACACCACTGTGAAAGGACTGACCCTGCTGTCACCTCTGAAGCTGAGGCAGGAGGACACTCCCTTCTATTCAGGGAGGCCAACTGCTCCCAGTACAGCCTGCACTGTCATGCAGGCGTCTGTCCAGACGGCTATCCTTTTATGTAATTATGAAATAAGATGCCAAGTTGTAAATGTCAGTGATGAAAAGAGGAAGACGCTTACCAGGAATGCTGGAATTCATTAGGATGAGATTTTTTAAAAGGGCCCTGTTCTTCTGGCCCCTGGTCCTTGATACAGTCATCTCTTTGTGAGAACTACACTCGGAGGGGGTTTTTGGGTGGGGGAGGTAATCAGGTTAATTAATTAATTAATTAATTAATTAATGGGGGTACTGGGGATTGAACCCAGGACCTCATGAATGCTAGGCATGTGCTCTACCACTGAGCTAGACCTTCCCTCCCATCCGGAGGGTTTTACATATAACACTGAAAGACTGTTCTGAGGATGAAACAAGGCTGATATGCGGATGTGGAAGCCACAGTGATGGCCCAGAGAGGATGCTGGTTGGAGGACAGCCATAATGATAGCAGTAGGACCACTGAAATGTAAGGAATAAGCAGATGAGATAATTGCCCCCAAAGCAAAGAGGAGATGAAATCTACAAAGCATGGGAAAGAATGTCTGAGAAAAAGGAGGACTAGTCAGCTACAAAACTCAAATCAATGGCTGACACCTAAAGCTGGTTGAATGTCTACTAGGTCAGAATCCCATGGGAAGATAGCAGAAAGGTAAAGGACAGAATGATCTAGGATAATGGATTTGACAAGAGAACCTGATAATTAACTGAGGCCAATATGCTCATTGCACAGATGGGGAAAGTGAGGACCAAAGAAGAAGAGGGACTTGTCAGGGACCACACAGTCAGGCTGAGTGGCAAAGCTGATCCCAGAGCTCAGGTCTTCTGACTCTCTAGCCAATGCTCTCATAATAATTAGCTCTCCCCCCACATGGACCAGGAACTCCTAGGGAGCAGAAGACACTGTGTAA